ACGAATCTTGTATGTTGTTCCTGTTATAATTATTATCATTCCATTTCCAACCTTTGTTTTGGTTATTCTTATTCAGTAAGCTTTTCCTAGGTTACAACAGTATGCCACTATGTCTGATGGAGAAGAGTGCAGACAGATCAAGGAATTTTCCCTGCCTATTCTTCTTATTAAGAAAACTCAGAGAAATAACTAGTTTTATCTCCCATGGACAAAATTTTTCCATTAATTTATACTTAATTAAAATTAAAAATTATGGGAATCTGGTGACCTGATTTGACTGATTTTTTGAGATAGCACATGGGTTTGTTCTTACAAAAATTACCCTACAATGTGCTGTTTTTGTTGTATTCTGGTAACAAAGACACAAACAAACACAGCAGAAATTGGTTCATTATAATAGAAATAGCCAAACTAATTTGAGCACATATAATTTGGTGTGTGGATTACAGATAAATTTGGTATGTTATCAACAGGAAAATATAATAAGAAAGAAATATAAGATAAATAAGGACTACAGGAAAAAACAGTCAAATAAGTAGGAAATTCATTTGTCTTCTAAATTACACTAATTATTGTTTATACAGAGAAATAAAAATGCTGCAACTCAGGTCATTTGATATTCATATAGTCTGCCAAATAAAATTAGAGTTATCTTCCTTAAAAGATCATCTATTTTAATTACCATACAAAATTATGTAGCACAAATTGTTCATTGTTATAAAATAGGAAACCAAATTAAATTCAAAGAAAGAAATGAGCTATAAAATTCCAAATTTGTTTTCAGGCTAGCAGAACTTCTGCCAAAATGTGCTTCAGTCAGTTATGTGCCATGTGTGATACATGCTTAGGTGATCATGTATCTTTTGATACATGACTGACAAGGTAGATTTTTTTCCTGCAGTAGGTTGCCATTTCTTTCTGCAGTAGACCAGTTGCCATCGAAGATGATAGAACCTGGTCTGTCCTGCTATTTACCCATAGCTGGAGGGAGAAGATGAGGATTCATACCTTTCCCAGGGTATATTAGCACGTAAGTGAATGTAATGGATTCGACTGGAATTCAAACTCAGCTCTCTGATTCCTCAATCCGAGCTGCTATCCATTACTCCATATTATTCAATAAAATAAGAAAATTTTAAGTGATTTACCTGGCTAGACAAGTCAGTTTTATCAAACATTTGGTTCAGATGAACATTTCAATGCAAAATTCTTGAGTCAGCTAACCAGACCAGTCACTTGAACTTTTCTTAATTTATTGAATATTTTAAAAAATTTAATTAATAAAATAAAATATTTGAAACTAGAAATGGAAAAAAATTATTAAATATAACAAAGCTAAGCTGAGTTTTTTACTAAACAAGAACAAACATATTGGATATATTAAACAGATATTTGTTCCTTTATAAAAATACCAAATAAAAATGTAACATAGCTAATGGTATTAAAAGCCCTATAGGGATACAAAAGCGATTATTTCCCTTTGATTGGGATAAGTCACATGGGTCACATGATGGACACTTAGTGATGTCATTTCATACAGTGACGAAAGTGGTCAGTGAGTCATGCAGTTTGTTTACGAACCAATTGTTCATTTCGCTCGGGCCAAGAGGCCCCAGCTGAGGATAAATATGCTCCCCCCCACCACCACCAAAATCTTATAAGCACATGACACTGTTTCCCTTTGGGAATATATATTCCCCAGATATAGAAATCTCTGACAGTCCTCAATTTGAGAAAACCCAAGACTCACAGTTTGCTGTTCACGGAATATATCCTCAGCTGGGATATAGTAGATTAATCCAGCTCACTTGATTCTGGCATCCTAAACATGACTACTCCAGAAACACAGAAGAATCTCCATATTATGTGTAAGACCCTATCTTTTCGTTCTCCTCTCACTCTGCTTGCTGTGTAGATATATGTTAAATTTTACTCTGTATGGGGCACATGTAAATATGTATATATATATAGTTTTGCATATGTCTTAGTAGTACAAAAATCTCTCTGAGAACCAAGCATGTTTATCATTCCTTTTCCTTTCAGCATTTCCATTCCATCCATGAGATACAATGTTGTTATATCATGGTTATAATAATGTCTATAATAGGGGAAACTGAAATGGGAGATTAAACCTTTCTTTCATAGCTTCACCATTATACCCCATTCCCATTTACAATTTAATATTATAATATAATAGAGTATGGTTTATTACAGGAGCTGGTGGTCTGTAGTATCTGGGTAAACTTTTGCTGATAAGATACCTCAAATTCACATATACTCCCCACAACTTACATTCAATATTACAACATTATAGACTGGAATTTAACAAGGTTGTGGGTTTTGCATGTATTTTTTTTGGTGAAGGTACATATTCTATATATAAACAAAGAAGATAGAAGCATACAAAAAAAACCTGAGTTTCTGCTATGGACATGTATTTCTTTTATGCGTACTGTATTGAAACAAAGTTAAATGTCTCTTGAGTATGTTTATTTTCCTTTTTGGTTCAGAAATAATTTATGGGAAGTAAGGATAAGAATGGGTAAAGATGGTTGAGCTCAAGTCAGCCTCACATTGAGTTGGAATGGCCAAATTTCTACTTCATGAGCAGGTCTGCTAAAACACATCTGAACAATATCATTGGAAAGTAGAAAGAGCTCAGTCATCAGTGGACTAAGAAAACTAGCATTCCCCAGTGGGAACATAATTACCATGTGATTCACATCTTAAAGCCAAGAGGAGAAAAAGAAAGATCCTGTCCTTTCCAGAAATGGGATCATAAAATTGCACATGTGACCAGAAACACTTTCCAGTTTCTTTATAACTTGCATCATGGGTAAATGAATTAATTTGTTTATTTTTATTCATTATTATTATTTTATTTATTGGTTTTATTTTATTTTGCCACAAGACTTATTACAAGAACTTACCAGATACTTCACCCTTGGATCCAGGATATATTTTTGAACAAAAATGGAGGTGTGTCTGATATCTCAGAAAACATAGCAGTTTCCTTCATGTGTGGCAACTTAAAATGTTCACACAAATAGAAAAATATTTTTTAACTCGAAAATATATACACAGGCTATCAGATCAGTTATTTCTGATTTGATTATAATAGAGGGGGGGGGGTTCTGGAGTCACATCAGTTTTGAGATTAACTGTAACACCAATGATCAGAGTTCAAATCCAAGTAAAGTATATATTTTGAATTTAGAACCATGTTTTATGGGAAGATTAGTGAGATGTACTTTTCCTGCAGGATATTTATACTCTTGTAAAATCTGTGATACTGACAGTATAACAGTAGAAGGCTTTCTAAATTTTGATAATATCAGTGGCATGTTCTTAAAAATATGTTGGGGTAAGCAAATAACACTATTGATCTTAGAAGAAATATTTTTTATTAATTTAATATATAAATAAAAAGTAGTATAAAATACTATCTTAACTTACAATTTGAAACAGTAAATTTTACCATTTTAAACATGAAATTTTATAATTTTAGGCAGTAAAATTTTAGAATTTTAAACATGAAATTTTATCATTTTCAAAAGTAAATTTTACCATTTAAACATGAAATTTTATAATTTTCAACATTAAATTTTACCATTTTAAATATGAAATTTTATAATTTTAAACAGTTTAACTGAATTTTGAATTAACTTGTCTGTTCATAAAATTAGGGAAGAATTTTTTGTAACTATTTTTTTTTACATATTTATTGTTTGTGGACTTTTGAACCAAGGCAATTTTAGCATGGATTGAACTTAATGATGAAAAATATTAGTATTGGCCCCAATTTAATTCATTTTAGAGCAGAATGCAATGATTGGGGGGGGGGGCTGAATTGTTGAATGAAGAAGGATAAGGAAAAAAAAACATAATAATTATACTTTTGTATAATAAAACAACTCAGTTTTAATGAGTTTTTGAGTGCGTTTAATTATATTTTTTTATATTCTCTTTTTCATTTTTTTTAAACCATTTCACACATAGCAAGGCAATAATGCCACTAAGATGCAAGGAGTTACTGAGTGTGAAAGAATCTGAGGAAAAAATTATTAAGGAAAGAAGACAATAAAAGTAGAGGAATCAGTGAGATGACAATTGGTATTGCATTTAAATTTATTCTAGGTTTTCATTCAACAAACTTTACTCAAGACAAAGCATTTGTCAGAATTAAGAAAAAGTGATTTTTTATCATTTCAGAAAGTGGCGGGTTCTGTTTATAACATATGCACTGTGAAATCAGTTACCAGTTCTTTGTTTTTATTTACAAATATCAGGTTTGAAACTGTGCTTACATTATTGATTTCTCTGTATGACTCATCCTTACCCCCCATTCATAATAGCACACAGTTATCAATGACATAAACACTTTCAAACTTGAAATTTGTAAATAAACATAAAGTACAGATAACTTTTTATGAGTTCAGACATCAATTTGACACTGTATTTATATTATGAACATGAGTAAAAGGATAAAAAATCAATATCTCTTGACTCTGACAAATGATTTGATTGATTGATTTGTTTTCTTTGGATTCTTTTGTAGGTTATTTAAAGCCAGAAAATATTTTTAGATTGTAAAAATTATTTTCTGAGATAATAATGATTTAGGAATACAAGTATTACCAATTAAACCATAGCTGGAGGGACAAGAGATGGCATACCTTTTCCATGGGGATTTGCATATAAGTGAATATTATGAACCCGACTGGGATTGGAAATCAACTCTCCAATTAACAATTCTGAACTATTATCTATTACACCAACCACAGCTCCAAGTTTACAGCAACTGGTATTCCCAAGTGGTCACCCATCTAGTTACTGACCAGGCTTGATTTTGCTTAATTTTGATGATTGTACAGGTACTGGTGTTTCAACATAATATAGTCATAAGCCGTAGAGGGAGAGAAGGAAGATGAAATAACAAAAGAATGTTAGAGAGAAGCTTATCTTATTTAGAAACATTTCTACATGGAAGCATTTTCCAGTCATAAAATGCAAATAGATAGATAGATAATTAAACAGACTGAGATAGATAGATAATTAACAGACTGAGATAGATAGATAGATAGATAGATAGATAGATAGATAGATAGATAGATAGATAGAAACAGAGTGAGATAAGAGAGAAGAGGTGAATTCATAACTTTCCCAAGGAATTGGAACTTAGATTTCTGATTTTGAGTTATTATCCATTACATCACTCACACATCCAAACTTACAGCACCTGGTATTGCAAAGCAGTCACCCATCTAGGTACTAACCAAGCTAAAGGTTGCTTAACTTCTGTAATAGTATGGGAAAAATCTAGTGAGTGCTAATCTACAAAATATAGGTACCATAGAGTAAAGTTCATCAGAACAATTACCACAAAATTATTTAAAGAAAATGCACAGAGAAGCTACATTATGGCAGTGGGAAAGTGACTGAAGCTGAAATGTCAGGACCAATGACATTACATATTCTTCTTTGGATTTTATCAAGGATCTCAAAAGGAGCACTAGACCATATGTGGCAGCAATATTCTAAGCATACACAAATAAAGAATCACATGACAGACAGATATATAAACACTCCCACCACTGAGAAGACAGTTTTATATCAATATGAAATGTAAGCTCCATGTTTGGAGAAGGCCCCCAAACTCACAGACCTACTAGAAGATGGTGGTTGAGAAAGTCCAGAGTGAAATAAACAGTAATGTTTCATGTGAGAGACTCAATCTCTGTGTTTTTATTTGTAATGTACGACAATAATGTTACAAGAATGTCATATGCTGGTTGATGCACACAGAAAAATCATGCTAATGAATATCAAAATATAATCCTATGTATATAATACTGTTAAGTATAGTAATATAATTTATATAACACAGAATATATAAAAAAAAACTTTTGACAGTATTGTACCTGGGGACTTTGAGAAAAACTATGATATGGAATTGGAATAATAGCAGTGATGTCACCTATCTTGAGTCTATCATAAAAATTCATGATGTGGAATTAGAAAATGCTAAACACTTCAAATACCTCAATTTATGGATCAGCTATAACAAATTTAGTATAGGAGATAAAAAAGTGAACAAAGAATAGGCTGTAGTAAAGGTAGTTTCACCCAACACCACAAATTGCTACAAAACCAAATATTTTTTAAATAACTTTTTCAGATTGAGACTTTCATTTGGATGTCATACATGGTGCCAAAATCATTCAGAAATATCTAAACATTCAGCTATACACAACTGCTTTCTCAGATCAATGGATAAAAATGGCTTTGTGCAAGCGAAGCCTGTGGGTTTTGTCGAAGATCATCCTTCTTCAAACCTTATGAACTGGCATAACAGAATCACAAAGAACTTTATCAAATAACAGAAACCACATCACTTGAGAACTTTCAACACTAGCAACAACTAACATGTAACTCAAAGAGAAAATAATGACATAATCAAGATGTTGATGTTTCACACTATTTCAAACAAATGGTTAGGAAGGAAACCCAAATCAATACTAGTAATAGCGATAACAGTTACTTGACTTGAGAAACTTATTTTCCTAAAAGATTGTTTTAAGAAAAAGACATTATAAATTTCAGCCAAAACCAGTTCTGGCTGCTCAATCAATGAAAGTCAAATATTTCCTTATAAGGAAATAGCTAATAGTACTATTACCATATGTCAGCTGATGCACATAATGAAAAAGTATGTCAATAATTATTTTAATATATGAGGGTAAATCAATAAGTCCATATCCTGGCATACTGAATTTTGATCTGAAATTTTTACTGTACAGTATGCAATTTATGTAATTAATATTCATTACTGAATTTAGAGGAATGTTTGCTTGATACTGAGCTTATCAACATGGATAAGTGAGATTGGCATGTTGAGTTCAAATTCTGGTCAACTTTGTTGCATTCACTTTCACACACATACCCTTGGAAAGGTATGGAGACATCTCTTTTTGACCCAGCTTGGATGTAATAGCAGAACAGACTAGAATCTATAGCTTTGATTAGTAACCAGTCTCGGAGAAGGAGATTAGGTGTTAGACTTGCAAATAGAAACCTGTAAAAACTGACTCGCTGTGTTAACCACAGTAGCAATATGTTGCATGTGGAGTCTGTGGGGCTATGCTCAACTGGAAGTCTAAAGGTTTAACTTAACCAAATTTAGTGCATTGACAAAGGAGATTATGTTGAAACTAAATAATTTTATGTAAAATAAATTAATTTTTGTCATCATTAGGCTATGGGCTTATGTAAGATATAGAGGAAGATTTAAATTTGATAAGAGATTTATCATTATACAAGCAATAATTACAATGCTACAAAAGAATTTTTTTACTTTTGGTATATAATTCCTTGAATTGTATTATTGCTAATATTATCTTACCAACATTATCTTTACAAAAGTTATATTAGACTAAAAATGAAGTATTGCTGTTGTAGCAGACATTAAACATTTTTGCTAGAGTTGATTTAATCTGATATAACTTCACCAAGCAAATAGATTTTTAGGTATTTACTGGTGCTCCCATCATTTAACAGATGCAAAACAAGGTCAGTTTAAGATGGGTTTATTGACAGTACCGTAGAAAAATTAAGCACCTTCACCTGGTACTTCTCCCTTTCAGGATGCCTCAGCCCCCTCCTGAGGGAGAAGTAAAGCCTGGGGGAATAGCCCCCTGGGGCTTCGGTTAAACTATAAATCTCAGCCAAAGGCAAATGGATGTTTAGGTATTTTCTGTCCCGCCCGTCCCATAAACAGATGTGACACAAGTTCAGTCTAAGGTGGGTTTATCAGCAATATCGTAGAAAAAATCCCAAGCCTCCTCAGCACTTCCCGTTTTGGGGACACCTCAGGTGCTGGGTAGTAAACTCAGCCTCCTCCTGAAGTAGAGGTAAAGTCTGGGTGGATGGCCCCCTGGGGCTTGGGTTAAAATATGAATCCAAACCAAAGGTAAATGGATTTTTATATCCACCAATGGCAAAACCATAAGTTTATAAACAGAGTAATTGAAAAGTAACTCCCTATTTTATGTATGATGTACTCTCCCATCTTGTAAAAATTATAGTTAGATGGAAGAATCCATCATGTATAAAATAGATAGTTACTTTTCAATCACCTGCAGGTGGAACAGGTCAACGTATTAAAGCACAAGTTTACATTAGCTGAAGGCTATTAGTTCAATACTTGTACTGGGTAGTAAATATACATTTGAGCTATTTAACAATTTAACATAAATTTAAAAGGAAAAAAAAAAACAACCTTATTTCATAAATTATAACATTTCAAAGAGAAATAATAAAGACTGGCTTGTAATTTTCAATACTCCCAACCGACCTTGAATGTCATGATGAAAAGTTATACTCTCAAGAAAGCATCATACTCTGAACGTCTATTGGGATCCAAGTGGAACTCATCTACAATCCACTGATAAAGATGTTAGAAAAATGGTTGGTTCCTCAACAACTCTAGAAACTACCTGACTCCTTCTGTCATGCTTTCTTTACAAGAGTCAGATCAGAAATGGAATATTGCTGCCATATCTGGGCTGAAGCTACCCAGTCCTCACTTTCCAACCTTGACTGAAGTCAAAATCATTTACATGTGGGGTGGAGAGGGTGACTTTTCCACCCTACAACCCCTTGCCCACAGGCACAATGTTGCAGACCTATCACTACTCTGTCACTACTTTCATGGGAAATATTAAGACAAACTCCATTCTGGAATACCATCATCTCAGACCTTTACAGTGAAAACCCGCCTTGTTACATCCACAGGGTTGAATCAACACTCATTCTCTATGTATTCTTTTAGTAAGAAGGGTGTTACACTCCAAAAGCTTCTTCCCAAGAACAACTATTTGTGGAAATGACTCCTGTGTGGATGCTTACCTGAATATTACAATCTTAACCTCTTCAAGTCTAGGGTAAGTCATTATCAATCTGATATATCTTTGTAATATTCACTTCCTATTTCCTCCTCTTATGCTCATATGGCATCCCTCATTCAGTAAACATCTACATTGAGTGGTTCTTGGTTACTGTATTTTATTACTGCTTCTGTCATGCTTTTGCTTATACAAGAGTTAGATCAGACGTGCATACATTAATATCCCTATCAGCAGCAGAAACCATTTTCAGCTTTAGGGTATGCATAAAAAGAAAAAACTGAGAGTATGCATGCTGTGAATCCCAAGAGGTGAGCTCTTTTTCAATTTGGGCCAAGATAGGATGCTAAAATTAGTCCTCCTCGCAATAACTTTATATGGCATAGACACAGTAGCATGCAGAAGGTGTATCAGAGGGTGTGATGGTCCCAAGTATCCATATCAGGAGGGAATCCAATTCAAAGAGCGAAATAAAAAATTAGTTTTTGAAATTTGAAATTGTCTTCATTAATTTTGTTGTACAAGTGCCCTACAGTCCCACAAGCTGGTGTGAATGTCCACGTTTTGGTAAGTGGGACCAGAATAGGCCCCACCCTACTTGTGTCTTAGGAACATACAATCAAGGAATTGGCCCCAAGCATCACAAAACTTCTGCACATCACTGCAAAGACAATACACCTCACGTATTCTTTAACTCACCGACAGAATAAATTCATCTTTTTCTCAATTCTATTTACAGAGACACTCTTAAGAACATTCCTGGAATTCGTACATTCTTTCAGGAATATTTTTTGAATTTTCTCTACACAAAAGTTGGATGAGTTTCTTATAGGAACCAACTGTCAGCGTGTGTATACATGATCTTCTCACAAAATACAACATTGGTGGAATTGAGACTTTCTTGATGCAGTCACAATTTCACATGGCTGGTCATTTTGCAAGGATGAGTGATGACAGAGTACTTAAGATCATCATGTATAACCAGCTTGTCAGTAGACAAAGGAATACTGAATGGCTGTGAATGAGATATATAAAGACAAGCTAAAGAGTAACCTCTCAGCTGTCAATGTGCCTCATACTAACTTTGAGTGAGTTGCCCCGGATAGAAATAACTGAAGATATTTGTGACAGAGTGGTATCAGAAATTTCAAAATCAGTCAGATTGACCGGCTAAGAGATGAAAGACAACAACAAAAAGTATCAGCAAATATTCCTGTTGCTATGTCCCAAGATTCTTACTGTTGCACAATATGTG